CTATTTTCGTTTCAGGCAGTAGAGCAAACAAAACGCTACGAAACATTGGCGAATCAATGCCGAACTATATCAGGAAACACTGATCTGGCCCACATGTCGCGCTCTTTACCCATTCCTGCAGGCAGAGGCTCGATTATTAAGAGAATTTTCGTGCCACCCCAACCTCCTGCATCCCCGGAAGCCGCTGAGGGAGAGGTGGCCAATGGACACATCAACAACGTGAGCAAACCCAGCCTCAAATTGAATCTCCCTCCCTAGCAATCCTACTCATTTAGGATGGGCGCATCTAATTATCTTTCGACTGCCTGTTTGATGAAGCCCCAGCTAAATCAGAGCGAGCGGGGTTGAAACAAAGTTTAATTATTCAATTATAACTTTCAGCGAAAATCGGCAGACTGTGCAAAAAAATAACCATGTCATTATCCTCCACAGATCGACCTATTCAATTCGGCTCAGTGTTGAAACGGGAAAATGGAATCTTTGGATTGTTCAATTCGCGCAAATATTATCTTTGGGCCCCGACCAATATTGATTAATGCCCGTTTTACTGGCTTGATTAATCCCAGCACTTGAAATCGCGATGTAAAATGGCAGGCAATTTTTTAAATAACGTGTGCATCGGACCTTGATGGGTTATGAACAATCGCAACTCAATAAATTCTGGACACCTTCGCTTCTCTAGAAATTGGCGTTTGCTCAATACATACTGGTTAAATAGCAGGAAGAGTTCACTAATAAACACTATTTATGCAGGAAAACATCCCGCCACCATTGAAAGACGAATTAGTGATAGATCAGCTATCGGCCGTCCAGATCAAGCCTTCCCACGACGCGCTCAAGAAGGAGTCGGACGATTTGAAAGTGCAAATACGGCAGATTCAGGACGCTTTGGACACGCTGTTGAGGATCCAGCAGCGGTCGGTGGACGCGTCCCTTTACAATAAAGCCAACGAACTTCAAGAGGACATCTCGATGAAGCGGTTCGACTTGAGGGTGGCTCAAATACATCTCAGCGCAATTAATGCACAGGCAAGTGATTAGGGTGGAAATTTTCGAGTGCGCCATCCAGCCGCTGGATGAGTTGAGTGTCTTCTTCACTGTTAATTGCCAGTAATTTTTGCAATCGATTGGACTTTAACCGATTTGTCCCATTTTTGCCTAACATCGGAAAAAATTGGTCCGATCGGTCGCAATTGCAAGAAACCCGCACGTTGGTAACTTTCGCGTGCATTATTCCCGCTGACAGGTAAAACTAGCACAAAGACGTTGAATTATAGCGTGCATTCCGAAAATTTGAAATGCAAATAATGATATATCGATAGTTTGTTACGCTCCACTCTTTGTTCAGGTTGCGTTAGGCGTTCGCAAGGTGAACTGGCACGTTGCTCCAAATGTGATTTTCTCCACACTCACTCTCCCATATTTATTTCCAGAAAAACATCCAGTTAAATCCCAAAAATCCACCGGCCGAACAACAATTGCATATGTATTATTCACATGTTCTTTCAAGTACATGTTTCGTGCAATATAAAATTCAATTACCGAGTGATGCCCGTTTGGGGGACGGAAAAAGTGGACATGCAAGTTAAGCCTACACTCAGCTCGGTTTTCCCAGTGTGCCTGGCATAAGGTTAATTCATAGTTGGGATAAACAGTTATTTTTCTGTAACAACGTTCCAGTTACACGTTGGTAATAGGTTCCAAAAGGAACATGTTACTTTTAAAACTTTTCATTAAACATGCGCAATGATGTTGATGGTGGAAATAGTAATGACAAATAATGATTCAGTTTATTAAAAGAATAATTCTTAACTAAAGCTCTTAGATAAAATAAAATATCCTATAATCAAAAACGAAACATTGGTCCGAAGTACCTGCTTAACGCACAAAAAAACTGATAATAAACTAGATAAAATATGTAAATAAAAACTGATTAAATAAAATATACGCTTTATTTGCAAAAATATTTAAAAACCTAACTTTCATTTAAAAATACAAATTTTTGTAGATGTTTTTCACTGAGTTCGAAGTATTACCCGAGCTAAAAAAATACTTTTAAAAAATATCTCGACCTTACAACGTCTATATAACTAACTTTCATTTCATCTTGTGACAAAGGCAAGCTTGCTTCAATGCAGGCGCACATTCTGCTTACAACGTTTATTACACATTTTACATTTCAACTGTGATGGAATTTATGTCTTAGTCAAAAGAAACTAACTAAACAAGTCTAAAACAACCGGTTAAATCTGCTAGCTGTAACTACGGTTCAGGTTACACGTTTGTAACAATGTTATTTTAGCGGTTACGTTAAATACCGGCCATCCCTAGTTGGGGCAGCTGCATTAAGAGCAGTTTCTGTTCAAAGACTCAACAGTTTCTTCCATTCAAACCTTCCCTCATCTATTTTCATACGAATAGTCAAGCAAAACAGTTCATTCTTGGCAACTTCTTCATAAAACAGAAACGTTCAATATTCTGAAGCCCAACATAAATCCTCAAATAGGCGAATATAAATACACTCCTAAACTAAAATATACGGAATCTCATGGAGCAATTCGCAGTTGTTAGCGCTGGAAAGCCCTAGAGATGAGAATGCTTGGAAATAATATATTAAATCAACAGTTCGAAGAATTTTCAGACGACAGCTGGAAAATGTTTCCAGTCAGCGAGTCAAACGCTGTGAAACATTAAAGGCGGTTTAGAAAATCTGCAAGGCTTAACCGAAAGAGACAAAATGTTTCTGCAGGTCCTCAAATGATCCTTTCGAACTTTCAAGTGGAAACTGAAATCTGAGGACTAAAATGATAGATTATGGCGCTCTTCCACACAATTCAGATATGGGTTTTCCTGTTTTCGCAATTCACAATGTTTCTACTCCGGCAAAATGCTATTTTGAGCGCGCAGTTTGCAGCTTGAACTTTATCGAAATCCGGCAGTGCTGGACACTGGAGTGAAATTAACAAAATGTATTTTCTTTCCGTTCAAGTTTTGTRTTACTCSTGAACGAGCGGGACAAAAAGGCRYATTTATTATTAAGAGTTTCCTCTAGTTCAAATTTGAAGCTCTTAAATAGGCGGATGTTATTTATCTTCTTCTACTAAAGTTGGCGAGTTCAATTAWAAGTTCGCCTATTTTGGACTAGTTTTGTTAAAAAATGGATCAAATTTCCGGAAAATGTATTGATTAGGCCGAAAAGCTAAGGCAGAAACACAGCAAAATATGAACCGGGGTTGGCTCGYCTCGGGAGTCCTTYTAACTCTAAAGCTTTCAGCGCTCATAAGTAATMTCCTACTTTCAAAAATTATTCCMCGCTATTTCTTAGRGRGAGAGAGTTATTTCCGTGRARTTTATCGAATTATATTTTATCCGCCAAGGAAATWAAATCCATTTCAGAGTAATGGATTATTAAATTGTCGCATGTGAGTAACAATTAAATAACRGTATTTTTTTGTAAYWAATAATAAMGACAAATATTMAAAATGTTTGGGTAAGTACGCATTGTTRCMCAAGMGCCCTCTYTACTATSAAAATTCGCATCTTCCGAACTAACACATGTGCCAAACTRAAATATTTATCATTTTTAGTATACACTTGGCTGAAAAGATGCCAAAAGCTTCAGAAAAMTYGCCAARATGCTTTATKTTTCTCTCAAAATTATTAAATATCGGTCATAGTGGACGTTGYCACTCAACTTTGCTRTGAAAACAACAAAATAAACACGAGACACTTTGTTGATATGACCTGYKACGTCACAATCGGGATAGGCAACCGACGATACGGATTAATATCTGATTTKAAYTTAAWTTYGCTTTAAAATTATTATGGAGAGYTTTTTTGCCAAAAAAAGTATATCAGTGTAATGMWTGCCATAATTACTTTCTATATATTAACATTTAAAAAAAGTGAAAACACGRTACTGCGCTCTMGCCTTTAAAAATTGGTATCTGAAGAGCCAAGACAAACAGTAATTTAAAATTTTAACCACCCTACAATCCGGATGTTTCCCGGCTGAATAAATTTAGGTCTCAAAACAGATGTTTTTCCTTTAAAAATCATTCAGTAAAATCAATTAGCGCTTCAGATTCTTCAATAGAAAAACCGGAAAATGGATATTCCATGTCCAGGAACAAGACGAGCGAAGCCAAAGTCATTAGCTCGGACTGCGACGTGATGTTTTGAAAGGCCATTTGCGAAAGAAAACATCGAATCTTCCTGAGCGTGTTTGTCCATTAGAAGAGGACTGATTGTTCTTGAGATTAAAACCAGTGAATATGAGGTTGAATGACTTTTGGCCGTCTAAAAGTTAATCTGCGCTGAAATTGCGGCA